CCTTTTGAATTATATTGCCAGTTGTATCTTCTCTCCTTGTTTCTCTTAGTCATTTACTGATTCGACAAGTAACTTATGACACAAAAACGTATGCTTATTGAAAGAAAACAAAAAAAAAACGCGCGTTACTGAATACAACAACTGTTCAAGTGTCGTTCAAGTTGCTGTTTGTTATTTTTCTGTGGGAAGTGACGGTTCCTGAACACAGATTACTGAAAAACAGTTTTAGAACTACAGAATAAGTTTGTCCTTGTTTGTAGGCACTCATTGCCCTCCAAAATCGCCGAAACAATTTCAGTGATATTTCCTTTTCCACGAAATTCTTTCTCGATTCAGTTATCAAGTGCACCATTGTGTTAAATGTTTGATCTGAATATTTTCTGACGAACTGTTTTTCGTGACACCAAACACCCTCAATGGGGTTGAGTTCACAGTGAAATTTTGGAACAAAAATAATCGTAACGCCATATTCGGTAGCTAGTTTTTCTAATTTTGACACCTATAACGACACAAGCGAGAAACGACAACTTATCAAGTGCGGTCTAAGGGTGAACGCTTACATTCTGAAAGGCCTTATGTTCTAATAATATACGCTTGAGTTCGTCTAATTTGCAGCTCGATGAGACTTCGAGACCAAGCTCGAGAGCAATGGCCAAAAGTCCTTTGCTTTGACCTTTTTTTGGCCCTGACTGGAAATAACATTCAAGAATTTTCGTCTTATTCGTTTCGGCTACGTATTCGATTGTTGGCACCGGACATCTAGTCCCACTTTCTTTGCCGAAATCATTGATGCTATAGTTTTTCGCGGTGTGGGTTCTCGCATTGTCAACTAATACTTCGATTTTGTGATTTTGATACTCTTGCTTGAACTGCAATAGTTTGAACAAGCGTTCAAACTGTGATACAACTGTACTGTTGTCAAAGTACGAGTCTACACCGAGATGAGCAGTGGCTGTGGCAGAATACTTTTCACAGTGGAGATCGGTGTCATCTACCAAATTAGGATATTTCTTCACGGCGTTCTTCCATTCCTGTTCACTCAGCTGAAAAAATGGTCCCGATGGATGCTGCACCAAGAAGTCCGAGATCATCAGACTCCTTCCACGTCCTTTACTGAAGAACGGTGCTGAATTATCAATCACCCAACGTTTTGCTCGAACATCTCCGCTCCGAAAAGTGGATTCATCGTGACCTAAAGCAAAATATCAGGAGCAAAACGTCATAGAGATTGGCCTAAGATCACTCGTCTTACAGATGAGAATGGTTGGTACAGGTGCTTTCGGTGTTTGCCAACTTGGATCTTCAGCCGGACTAATAGTATAATAGCTAGCTTCATTTGTCAGGAAATAATCGATGAATTGGTGACGGTGAGCAACCACATCTGGACGATCGTGCCCCTCAAAATACGGGCGGTTCGAATTGGCTTCGAAGCGCCCACCCCACCTCCGAAGATCCAGACGGCAACTTTCGACCGATCTCACGAGATCTGAATTAGTCTTCCGAAAATCATTAATTTCATAATACCGTTTATCCACAAACTGTGCTAGATCAATTGCCGTGAAACTGGCGGCCTTCTGCTCGCATTGAAGGACCGCAAATGCTCTCGCTTCGGCTTCAAGATCCGGATAAACGTCGTAAAAGCTATCTCCACGTTTGCCGCCTCTTCCGTCAGCTACAAATTCATCAAATTTTCCATTGACAAACACATTTGACCATTTTTGGGCTGTTCTACATGCAAAACCGCCAATATCCTTGAGAAAGGCATGTGTATCTCGATACGATAAGTTAAAACGACGTAGAGTCAAGTAGAGAAGAACACTCAAATATCTCGTATTGCATTGGTTGTTGCAAAGTTGAAATAAATCACCAATGTCAGAAGTCTGAATCTTGTCTTTGAAATCCAAATCATTTGCTTCTGTGTCGTCTTCATCACTTATTTCCATGGAAAAAACACTGTCATCACTCGATGTAGAACTTTCTCTTGACCAACGCTGTGCGATGGCACTCAGATATTGAGACTTTCGTTTCGACGTGGTAGGCATCAGTCGGAGACAAAAAATTCACTATTAGACACGAAGGGCGCAGACACGAAAGGTGCGTAAGAAAAAAGGATATAACCCATACACACCAACTCTATGACTCACCCACAAAATCTGATTGATTGGTATATAATGCACCTACGCCTCTCAAATGCACGTCGCCAAAGTGCATCATATAAAAACCAATCCGATTTGTAGGTGGCTCGTAGAGTAGGCGTGAGCAAGTTGTAGACATTTTATTACTACCTAAGAAGA